AAATATTGTCAAAGCAAAATTAAGCTTTCGATTGAAGTGAAAAAGATTCATTGATAAAATAAGTTGAAAAGTCAGTTACACGATAGCTGTGCAAGTGACTTTACAGACAAACAATCAACGAAAGGCATGTTTGTATTTAATAATTCAAGTATGAACATCGGCACCATAAAAATCTACTCATTGACAGCAAAGAGAGTGTTTGTAGAACGGATTGATGGAACACAGTCATGATATACCTGTATCCAGTTGCTTTAAAAGGAGAATAGTTTAGATATGCAACTAATTTGCAGAAAAGTGTAAGAAAATAAAACTGCTCACAATATTTTAGTCATCATGTATGATTTAATGTCTTCATGAGTCGAACCATTAATGTTTTAAACATGTAAATTAATTTTTCTAATAATTGTTTGTTTGATCAAAATTTGTAACTTTTAATCATGGATTTGAATTAGCTATGTCTTGTGTTTAAATGGGTTTAAGTGTACGGACACTTGTTAGAAATTTTAACATATCGACCTAATTAATGACAAAGATGAATGATAAATTCAATTTCTATATAATTAAAGAAAAATGTTTTTTTTTTATCGCAAGTACACATATACTACTTAGATTAGCTATGAATATGAAGTGCTTATTTGGGACACTTTATTTTGCAAATTGTTTCATCTGCATATTCACTGATGGTTTCGAGATGATGATTATTGAAGTACTACAGTCTTCGGTGTTCAGTTAAAGTGATCTGTAATATTTCCTAAATAAATGCTTATATTTGCGTTATGTTTTTAGAATCAAGAAACAAGCTGCTTCAGAGATTATAATCGATGTTATGAAGAAATGAATTCAGGAACATAAGCAGTTGTTTTCCTCAATACCTAATAATTTTTATAGAATAGATTGATAACCATCAACTCCAACAAAACACAAGTTAATTGACTGAAATAACTGATAGTTGTTGTTTAGCTTTCAAATAACTCTTGTTTCATGAAATAAACAAACGAATTAATATAACCGCCTGAACTTGTATTTATCAAGCCACTTTTAGAGACAGTAACAAGACGAGCATTATAAATACTTCTTGAATAAATAAGCACTGAATAAGTAAGGTGTTAAAAAAACACAGGTTTGTAAATGAGGAATATTCTTTTCTGCAAATTCTCTTCAAGTGCCCCAGTAGTATATATCCAAATGCATAATTCAAAAAAGGTAAAGTATTAGGTATTATAAATGAATTTATTTACTATAACACTAATTACTGTTTAACTTGAAAAAATAAGAACATCAAACAACAAATTTTTTGTTATCGGCGAATTTATTATTAGAATTAATATAATTAGATTTATATGCGGTTAATGTTTGAATTTTACAAAAAGGAATTCACGGAAAGTTCTAGAAGATTACTAGGAACGTTTATTCAGAAAATAAGTATTGAAATACGAGTTATATTTAGACATACCTGAAAAGATAAATGAGTAACAGTGGTAAATCGTACATCGAAAGATACTAGTTGAAATTAAAAAGGTGAACATATGATTTAGTAAATAAATAAATTCCATTGATAAAGTAAAAGTTTTGTTCATTTGTATAAAATGAAGAATGAACTAGTTAAAAATTGATTGCGGTCGGATACGAGGAGGGAATATTGTGAAAAAAAATACGAAGTTGGCTTTGGATAAATAAATTTGGTATGAGAAAATAAAAAGCAGTCTTTTTGCAATGCTTGTAAGGTTATATACTTTGTTTGTTAGAGTACACTGAATAGATTCATCAGAAATACATGATTATTGGATATTTCCAACTGATCGCTTTATTCTTTTACCGAACTGTATCGGTAAAAACTGAATTGGGAAATGAATGGTCTTTTTCTAGGAAAATTGATTCGAATATCTCCACTGACATCTTATAATGAACAATCGAATCAATTCACTTGACCAAGTGATATTGACAATAAACTAATTATCTATTTGTGATATTTCAATGAGTGGAAATTTGAACTCTTAACGTTTTACAGATCAATTTATCATAGAGTAAACAATTATATAATGGAATTAAATAAACAAAAGTTTAAACTTTGAATGTGTGTAATATTTTACACGCCCATACATTTTTTCTGACACGCCTACATTTAAATTTGTTGATGTGAAGGGATATGAGTTTCAAAAAATTGAGATATGTTGAAACTAGATTTTCTGTGTAATTGTTAAGTATCATTTTGTTTAATTAGGCATCTTTTGTTGAAAGGTATTTTTTATGAGTCATTCGAAATGTGTTGAGATTGTTGAGACTTTTGAAAAGATATCAAAATATTTGCTTGAGTAACGGCAAAAAGATAATTATTGTAGAATAGGATGCAACTATAGTGTTTCATTGCTTTATATTTGGCTGTGGTGGTGTTTTGTTCTCTGAGCTGGTTGTTTTGATTGTGGAGCTTTCATTGTTCTTCTGAGCAACATCATCAGCACAAACTTCAGATAGAAGTGAAGCATTCGAATTTCTCCACGTTTGACCTGTAGCTTGTTCTGCTAACCTCGATGAAAGCTCCACAATCAAAACAACCAGCTCAGAGAACAAAACACCACCACAATCATCCACCTGAGCTACAAGTTTTCTCCACCATCTTATATTTGGCTACATACAAACTATTCAGTTTAGTTCTTTCGAAATTTGAAGATATTTGTAAACTAAGAAATAAATTATTCTTTGGAAGGTGAAAGTATAATGAAATTGAAGTAAAGATTATAACGAAATACTTACTTACTTACTTACGCCTGTTACCCCCAATGGAGCATAGGCCGCTCACCAGTTTTCTCCAACCAACTCGGTCCTGGGCTTCTCTCTCCAATTCTGTCCAATGTTTGTTCATTCCTCTCATATCTTTCTCTATTTCTCGGCGTAATGTGTTCCTTGGCCTTCCTCTTTTCCTTTTGCCTTGAGGGTTCCATATGAGGGCTTGTCTCGTGACGCAGTTAGGTGCTTTCCGCAATGTGTGTCCTATCCACTTCCACCGCTTCTTCCTGACTTCCTCCTCCACTGGAATCTGGTTTGTTCTCTCCCACAGTACGTTGTTACCGATCGTGTCTGGCCAGCGAATACGAAGTGTTTTGCGTAGACAGCTGTTAATAAACACTTGTATCTTCTGGATGATGGCTTTGGTAGTTCTCCATGTTTCCTCTCCATACAGTAGAACTGTTTTGACTTGTATATTGAAAATCCTGATTTTGGTTTTGGTTGAAAGTTATTTGGAGTTCCAGATATTTTTCAATTGTAGAAATGCAACCCTTGCTTTGCCGATCCGCGCCCTCACATCTGAATCGGATCCACCTTTATCGTCGATGATGCTTCCCAGATATGTAAAGGCGTTAACGTCCTCCGAGGCATCTCCATCAAGAGTGATTTGGTTGGTGCATGTTGTGTTGCATCGGAGAATTTCGCTTTTTCCTTTATGTATGTTGAGACCTACTGCTACAGAGGCTGCTGCTACACTGGTCGTCTTCTAATGCATTTTTTGTTGCGTGTGAGATAGAAGAGCCAGATCATCTGCGAAGTCCAGATCGTCCAGCTGCGTCCTAACTGTCCAGTTGATACCGTGCTTCCTTCCAGATGCTGACGTCTTCATAATCCAGACGATGACCAGGAGAAAGAGAAAGGGTGAGTGTAAGCAATCTTGCCTGACACCGATCTTCACCTCGAACGAGTTTGTCAGCTGACCTCCGTGCACGATTTTGCAGTTGAATCCATTATAAGAATTCCGTATGATGTTAGCTATTTTCTCAGGCACACCGTAGTGTCAAAGAAGCCTCCACAGTGTTTTCCTATCCACGCTATCGAATGCTTTCTCGTAGTCGATGAAGTTGATGTAGAGTGGTGAGTTCCATTCAATTGATTGTTCCACAATGATCCGTATTGTCATGATTTGGTCGGTAACCGATCGATTTCAACTCGGCTTATATCACGAGACGTCATAATTCTTCTTCCAATACCCAGGGCAGAGTTAAAATGATTTGATTGATTTTTTCTGGTTATCGTTTTTTTGGCAAGTTAGTTTATAGTTGAGATGCGGGCACCAATCCCATGTCCAACCCCTCCTCCTTTATCCATGCCTGGGACCGGCAGTTGCCCCGAAGGTTTTACTGACGGAGTTGGTTATGCTATAGGATAAAAGCTAATTGAAAACATAGAAATAATCAGCAAAAGAAAACAGTCAGAACGGAACTCATAAATAAATTAAGAATGAAATTCAATAGCATTTTTATTACTCTTACTAAGACTGACGGTTAACGACTGACTTACCTGGTTACAAAAGCCAGGTTTTAACCTGCTTGTTACCATGACCTTCCCAAATTGCAATATGACAGAGTCGTAAGGTTTGTTGATTATTCTGAATGCTGTCATTTTATCTAATTCGCATCTTTTATAAAGTAAGTGGAGCATTATTGAACTACGAAAATTGTTTTGCCCTTATAAATTTATGTTCTTAGCATACATGTAATAAAATATGAGTACACCAGTATGTTTGTTTTTTTAATATGTTTGCTTTCGAACTTGTTTAACAATTATTAAATGCACTTTGTGGTGCACTTGACGTCTATTTCTGATGAAAATGACTTAAACTGATATTTGTACGTAAGTATGATCATGTACTAAAGTCATAATGGTGTTAATTTTAGTTTAGTTCTTTATTGATACAGATTTCCTGGGTCTCATTCTATTAACAGTTGAAAGTCTAGTCAAAACTGCTCACAGTCAGTATATTATAAAGTACACTGATAAAACATCTAAATGTATCTGTTAATTTGTTTATAATCTGTGAGTCAATATAATTGAATTGTTAACGTTCTTTTTTTTAACCAATACCAAACATATATATTTGGATAGTTGTAATTAAATTTCGTGATGCAAATTTCATTGGTGTTTGTCATCTAAGATCAGAGATATAAATAACAAATAGTTAACAGATATTTACCTAAAAAAACTAAAAGTAGATTTCATCGAGGAAATCATTAATGGCCGCCGTCACTCAGTCTCAAGTAGATCACTTAGTTACTGAATTACTACCTCATGTGGATACAGAAACACATCAGGAAGAACTAGGGTTAAAAGTCTATAGATGGTAAATATAACAATAATGATCATTCATCTGTTTGCGTTTCTTTTTAAAAAATATTAGCTTTCTGAATGCTAAACCAGAATATATTTGTAAATTTTCAAGACTTCAAGGACTCGATGTTAGTAATTTCGCACAGTCGGAAGGACTTAAATACTACGCAAGAACTTTGGTCGGAGCTCTTGTGCCAATAATTAAAGCTGGAGCGAATAAGTTTGAATTGGATAAACTTTGCTTGAAGGAAGCTGTTGAGCACAGGACTCGTCAAGTTAACAATCAAACTTTTTTAGTAAGTGATTTCTCGAAATCTGTGTATGCTTTTTAAGCTCATTTTATAAATTTCTTGTTTTCCATATAGTTTAACGGTATGATGAGTGTTACGTATAAGCTTTAACAAAAATTGAACTAACGATAACAGATGTAGGAAACTGCTACTCCTTAAAACATGATTTTTTATATTCCTTATTTGTCTCAGGTTATCACTTTCTCTTATTCCAGACTTTACAACTACTTCAGCATCATTCAACCTGAAGTCGTTATCAGAGAATATTAAATATTTACTTCTTTGTCGCTTTCTATACATTAAATAAACCCTAACTGTCTTTAAACAGTCATTTAGCACACACAGCCCTGTTTCTGATGTATGTACACTAATTGTAAGAACAAAATTTTAAGTAAAAGAACCGTATCGAATATGTTGACTACTTTTAAACAACTAAAGTCAAATCGTAAACATTCGCCACACCTTTGTAAATTAAATTTTATTAAATTCTGACACTTCAAAAACTTCTTTTACTTCTTAATCAGCAGATTTTCGAACGAATCTACTGATTTATTTACTAATGTAAGATAGATTAGTTCTAAACTTATACCAAATAACTTGTGTTTCATTGTTATTTTTAGGATTCACTGCCAATATTTATTGAATTTTTTAATGATCATATCAACGACAAACAAAATAAAGAAACAATGAGTAAAATATTGACTTATGTCTTTACAACAATCGGTTCTCAGATTTAATAACAGAACACTAAACAAAGCATGTAACGTAGATTTTTGTGTACAAATTAACCTTTTGTTTTTGATATTCATAATTTAGTTAACGATTTTTATTCTAAAATTAGAATATTCCCAATAAACTTGATCTGATCATAATCGATTGTTAGTCATTTTATGTATTTCGGATCATTTCAAGAAGAAATCATATCCTGATCAATTTGAAAAATTAGGAATTAAAAATAATAAGGTTTTGGAGTGGGAGTTGGGGAGATAATTACTACTTATAATTAAAACTATTGTATTTATTCGAGTGTTCATGTAAAACGGTGAAACTAACCAATGAGTACCAATAATTACATAACTCATCAAATCATATGATAATAGAAATTTAAGTAAAAACTACATTACGACAGTCCAAAAGCATATTTTATTCATAATATTCTGATCTGAAAACCTAGTTGGTTACAATCATTTAAAACTAGCTGAATGATTATCTGGAAGTTAAATGAACCCATAGTTCACTATAGAAAAACGGTCCTGATTTTTAGTGAAAAAATAAAGGATCATCAAAACTTTCACCAATTTTCGAGTCATTTGAGTTATGAAAGCAATAATTTGGTTTTAAGTTAGTTTACACAAGAGTCTCGGCACCTAGTTAAATGATCATAGATTATATTAGAATTTTTATAGTTTATGGAAGATGTGTCAAATTTATCAACAATTTATAGCATGAAATGAATGAAATAAATAATTCATAGAGGTAGATTATACTGATTCACTGAATAAGCGTCTGAAGTTTTCAAATTACAGGCTTTTAAAATATTTTGTGGATTTCTGTTGAGAATTCCCGGGTGATATAGGCATGCTTCATGAAACGTCTAAATATGTGTATTCAGTAAATTTCATTTGAAATCATGAATCGATCAAAGTTAGACCACCATTAGACCAAGCATTTCCACGAAAACGGTCTGTACTATGTCTCATACTAGTTAGCATATGAATGGTCCTCGGTTCATCTTATCGGTTAACAGTATAATAAGTATCTAAGGTAGATTCAGGTATTGGAATCAAAATTTTCACTCACAAGGAGATTTATTATGAAGCCTAAATAAATCAGTCATTTGTGTTGCAGAATTTAACAATGTTTTGTAGAACGATAAGTAGATAAATTGGGATTTTTGTATCTAAACATGTTGTCTTTGAAAATGAAATTATCCATAAGCTGTAATACTTGTACCATAGCAAACAATACCATCAGTAACTAACAAAATATAGTCAGTTATTTCGAAATTTGAGAAATACTATTTGAATATTAATTCAAAAATTAATTAACCCACTGTTACAGATATTATTGAATAAAGTAATTCAATGTAGTCAATAAAATGATACAGATTTATGCAGTGAAAATTATACATTTTCAAGTTTTCCTAAATCTAAACCAGTTAATAAAAATATTTAATGTAATGAATTTCTGACAGTGTTAAAATTTGGCAACAGTTGTATTTCTTACCTTTGAATAAAAATTATCTCAAAAAGTGGACATCATTTAATCTCATAAGGGGTTGGATTTATTACGTGAAAATTCTGATACTTATATTTTTGTGTTTAATTTTTATGCCTTATAAAGTTGATAAATGTGACACCTCGTTTAGATATTTTAATTCTAAAGATTGATGAAATAACCTATGCTACTTGGCTCTACAAAAATAAACACCATTTAAGTACGGACGTTTATTGATAATCTGTAGGGATTATTGCAGAACCTTCATTTTCGCTTACCAGCTATCGTTAGCACATAAAACGTTGAGGAAACTTTCGTTTTATGCTACCTAATATCTTAATCAGAGTTTTTACATTAAGGTATTCGGATTACAACCGATTGGCTGTAGAATTTAGTTGGTTAAGATAACTGGTCACTGAGTTTGGAAATCATTCAACGAAATCGATTGTTAGAACTCAGTCAGCAAGAAGGACTATAAAGCATGGTAATAGGAACTTTCATTGACTGATTCGTGAAATATTTAATGTTTGAGAGTTGAAAGAGTGATAATAGTTTACGAGTTGTGATTCACGTGTATTTTTGTGACTCAAATTTAGACGAACAATTGAATATTCTATGAAATGAATTTTTAATCTAATCTCAGCATGTCATCCTTAAATGAACTTTGTTTGTATGGCGATGTTCATTAAAAGTTCAATACGGTTTATTTTGGATGGATTGATTTCGTACATTTGCGTAAGCAGATAGACAGTAAATGGGTTATTAAGAGAGAATCGAAGCAAAGTAAAGGGAAGGCAAGTGGACTAATTCGATATGGTGAGGCATGACTAGATATTTATAGTTAGACGAAATAAGCCAGATTTGTTATTAGAGCAAGCAATACACTAAAGTAAAGACAAGCAAGATTATAAGCGAGTAATTGACAAGGTCAAAAGACATCTGAATCACAACTCAAGAAGAGTGGATTAATTAGTTTGTTGAAAGTCTGGGACAAACCATACAGTTGCACACTACAATAGTTAAAACATTGATTTTGATACCAGTGAAACCTTAGACCTTAGTTCCATAAGAAGCAGGTGCTTATTGGGTTGTTTGAAACATGGGGCTTACTTTCGCTTAGTGACATAAGAATAATTTACACTTAGATTAAAACAGCGAAGAAATATCCCTTAACAATTTTGAACAAAAGTTATCGTTTCATTCCTATGTTCATAAATCTAGATTGAATTCACGGAAATGCTAAACAAATGAGCTCTCTTCATGTCCCACTTAAAAAGGGTATAATACTGAGCTTCCTAAACGTGTCTAAAGGATCCAGTCATCTGATAGTAAATCAATTCTTTCAAACTTAGTTGCTATTCAGACAGCAGTTTTGTAATACTACTCGCAAGTAGTTAAAATTCCGTTCAATAATTTTCAATGAACACATAACATTATTTTCAAATACTAGTGTTGAATTGTTTGACGATATTTTTATTCCGAAGTATAAACATATGAAATAATGTAGTAATAATATCAGACTACTGAGTTCAATTCTCACATGTAACTGTATTCTATAATTTTGATAAAGAATAGCTTGTATCTTAGTAAACATAATTATTGTAAAATTCTTCAGTATTATTCAGGTAAAGTTAACTAATTCAGTAGTCATTTGAAGTTATACTATGATTGTAGTTGGGTTACATTTGTGAATTAAATTTGACGAGAAAACCAATCCTTCATACTTTTTCATTAAACTACTTGATCATATATAAAATCAAAAAAGACATGCTTAACCATCTGAACTGATTGAGATTAGTTTTAAGTCTCAGTGTTAGCCACAATATTGGAATTCAGATAAACCAAGTCCTTGAGTTCGAAGTAAGATGAGGCATACGCCCCGTATTCCACTGACAGCTGTACACATAATACGAAAATATTGAAATGGACTGTTATCCCAAATAAGCATTATTCATTTGAGGGACATTTATTAGATTGTAAGTGCCTCTAGAAACAATTTCTTCTTTTCTACAGTAATCATACACAAAATCTTGGAAGTGTCAACTAGATGACTTCTATAAAGTCTTCGTTTGCTGATTTTTTATATATCATTAACGATACATTTCACTTACTTACGCCTTTTACCTCTAACGGAGTATAGCCCGCTGACCAGCATTCTTAAGACTACTCTGTCATGGGCCTTCCTTTCTCTTTCCCCGAAAGTGCTGTCCATTCTTTCCATATCTGCTTCCAGTTCTCGACGTAATATGATCATTGGTCTTCCACTTTTTCTTCGGCACTGGGGATGCCAAGTTAGGGTTTGTCTTGTGACACAGTTGGGTCCTTTCCGCAATGTGTGTCCTATCCATCTCTGGTCTGTTCTAATTTTTTCCTCCGTGATAAGCAGGGTTGTTCTCTCTCACAATAGGTTGTTGCTCATAGTTTATGACCGGTGGATCTTCAGTATGGTGCGTAGACAAATGTTTATAAACACCTGTATCTTATGGACGATGGCCTTCTTAGTTCTCCAAGTCCTAGCTCTGTGCAATAAAACCTTTTTGACTTTCGGATTGAAAGTTGTGACTTTGATGTTGGTTCCAGATGTCATTCAATAATAGAAGTATTGCCCTTACCTTGCTAATCCGTGTCTTGAAATGTGCATTAGATCCACCTTGTTTGTTGAGAACATCGCCCACGTATGTAAAGGTTTCCACGTCTTCTCCGTCAAGTGTGATTTGATTGTTTCATATTGTGTTGTATCGGATGATCTTACCTTCTGCCTGTGTATGTTTAGATCTGGAACTACTACTACTACTGTAGTGAAGGAGAACACAGGTGACGGCGACCGAATTGTATTTAACGAACATTACAGAGTTACTCAGTAAAATAGGAAAACCATATCGTTACCGTTAATTTGCAAATCTTCAATCCATCATCAATCCATTGTCTGACATTTCACTATTCATGCTTTTCATACAAATTACATTGTGTTCCCACTCTTCCTTTCTTGATCTTCCCCCATCTTCTGCTGCCAGACATTAAGTTTACACTCGCGTCATATACTACTTGTAAGTAGCGCGCACCACACTACTACTTCTACTACTACCACTACTACTAACAGAGGCCGCTACATTTGTCGTCTTCATCTGCATTTGTTGTTGAATGTAGGATAGAAGAGCTAGATCATCTGCAAAGTCCAGATTGTCTAGTTGCATCCTAGCTGCACACAGTATCCCTTACTTCCCCTGAGATTTTGACGTCTTCATAATCCATTCTACCATCAGAAGAAAGAGATGTGGTGACAGTAAGCAGCCTTGTTTGACACCGGTTTTCAACAGGAACGAGTCTGTGAGGTGTCCTCCATGCACGGTTTCACAGTGTAGTCCGTCGTAAGAATTCTCTGCTAAATTGGCCATCTTTTTCGGCACGCCATAGTGTTGAAGAAGCCTCCATAGTGTCATCCTATCCACGCTATCCAATGTTTTCTTGTAGTCAATGAATTAGACACATAGTAATGAGTGTCACTGAACTAACTGTTCAA